TGGCCTTCGTGCAAAATAACCGGCTTGCAGTAATCTCTTGTTCACGAGGGACCTTGAAACGGTCGTTTGAATGACATTCTGCTTCTCTTTTCTGAGGTCGCTTGTTGTCTTTGTACGACCGGCACGGCGTCCTCTAAGGAGAAGGCGTTACTGACGAAGGCGTTACTGATCCTGTCTTCTTGGTGTGATACCCTGGTCGAGGTAATGGAGTAGGTGCCCCTGTTGCAGCATTTCTTTGGAATACTTTACAAACGGTTCCTGATAAATGTTGAATTACCTGGCAATGGCTGTCCGTTTCTGGCCATTTTCTCTGAGAGCAAGAATCCCATAGTAAGTTGCGTTGCTAAGCTGTCGAACGATATCTTCACTAAGGTACCTGTCAAGTTTCAGAGCGACCCGTTTGTTGCTTGCCTAAACACACTCCAAAGATTGACCAAACCCATTCGTTTTTATACAAGGGCATAAATTGCCGAAAAGACACCCCTCCCTCACATTTCTGACCACAGAACATGCAACTGCATGCATCAATTGTTTCAAGAGTTGTGTGGTAATTAGGTAACACACCTGGATACACATGGAGTGACACCTCAGCTTTGGATTTAAAGTATGTAGTTAGAGAGAAATTAAATATTTAGTAGAAAATTTACTCGCCAAAAAATAATATCCCATATTAAGTGGTAACCCTTTAATTGTAATGCATTTCTTTCTAACATTCAGTTTACATACGTTTTTGGTAGCCTCTAAAAGTTTTCAACCTGAAAAATTGGAGAACATAACAGAGTCAGCCAAGGACACGTTTGGGGAACACGTTTGAATACGTCATGATGGACATTTACAGGTGTAGGACCAGAACAGAGCTTCTTGTAAACAGTTTAGAACCAAGGTACCGAATTTAATTTGAGGATCAGAAGAGGGGCTTAACAAAAGGACATTCATAGGACATTTATGGATTCCTCAAGTAAATTTTTACTGACGTATTTCAGTTAGTCATTCCATGCTGAACTCATTCATTTTTGTGTAAGCTGACCTTGCAACCAAGTTACTTGAATATATTAATCATTTTGATAAAGTTTGTTACAATTTTCATGTCTATTTTTAAAATCCTTCCCGGAAGTAAAACTAATTCAAATTAGAATAAGTGTGTTGGAAAATTAAACGAAAGAAGATGTTCTATTATAAGTTCCCGAAAGATACTTGTCGGGCTATTATTTAATTAAATGCGTTCTAATAACAAATGTTACTCGAATGAGAAAATGCGACAAACAAAGTGAATACTAAGATAAGAATTTTTGACACTGAGTTGTTGTTTAGTGATGACGATGGAATGGGAACGCTGCATATTCTATAGATTTAATAATTGTGCAGTTGGAACTTGATAAATAAAACTCAATTACCTGAAAAAATGATGATCCAAATAATCAGGAAGTAGTGCATCGCTCAGCGTTTACAGCGCCCTGTAAAACACGTCCTGTGTTAACAATATGCTGTAAAGAATGCGATAAGGTACGCCAAGGTTAAGTTTTTGTCGAGGTAGCTGTTATCTTGAAAATGTAAACACTGCAAAATTTGATATGTGACTTCGACACCAGTTACTGGAAAATAGCGTCACCATGCAGCTGTATAATAGTGCCTACATGTTAATTATTCACTTGTAAACAATCTTTAACAATTCATTTTATGACGATGTACGTGTTTATTAAAACATGAATGTTATGTGACACGTGTTATTTAGTTAAAAAGAATGAATTGCACGAATACTAATATATTATTCTTATTTTGTTTTGTTCAATAAATGCTTTAACCATCGTTATCCCAGTACCAAATTGTAATCGTCAGGTCATGGGATTTATCATGCGCTGGCAATCTTTAACTGGATGCATATCTTTATAACTTGGGTAGATAATTAATTTCTGCATTTTATCTCCTTGACATACTGTGCCAATCAATAAGTGGACATGATCGAGGGTTTTATTATACACGTTCCCTATCAGAAGGTAACGAGACAGGTAACAAGTCACAGTGCTTGGTCTGCTATTTCTCTTACATGAACATTTGTATTTTCTTGGTTTCCATTTTCTATCCGTGCTTTTCTTGTTATGCTGTAGAATGAATCATTGGGTAAAACAAACACCGTTTCATTTCAGTCCATACAAGTTGATAAAGTAAAGTTGATTTATTCCTTGCTTTCTCCAATCATAAAAATCTCGTAACGACATTAAAATGTACTTTACTGGTGAATTATAAATAATGTATAACTTAAATCACCGAAAAATATACCATGGTAAAAGGTGCATTTACAAAAGTGTCCCCAATGCCTGGGCACCAAAAGTAATGTTTTTATTATGTTAGATAAGCCCTCATTGTGCTAGCATTTTCTTTCTCTGCAAATAGCAATCGGGTATCTCTACTATCACAATCTTAATTTCCAAACCTTAGACAGATATCCAGTTTGGAGTAAATTCAAGGAGATAACCGTGATATCATAAGTCTGTCTTTTAAAACGCGTTAATCTGTAAATTTCTTCTACACGCATTCGTTTGCAAGCATATTGTTGGCTTTCAAATTGATACATACCGCAGCAAAATACACATAACAAAAAAATAAGATGCCAAAATGCCCCCATTTTCATAATCACCCCCGTATTGATTAATTTATATTTCTAATTGAGGTACATGTAACACGGAGAGACAGAAGTAGAGGGTACTGAAGCGTTTTACTTTGAAAATATAACGTCATAAGCTAAAGCATATACATGCTTGTAATTCACGTGAGAAATAAAAGCGATTCTTCGCTAGGGATGGCCATCACATAAGAGTCACATATGAATGTTTGGTGAGTTAAAAATGAAACTTTTTTTTCTTGAGATTTTAGTCTCAGTGTAAACGATAAACTGAGGAGTATACGTACATGTATATGGTTTATAATTATGGACATATTTCTGTCCCAGCTACTAATATTAATTCGTTTCTGTTATCATATGGGCATGGTCAAATTTAAATGAGTCAAAGAGGGTTACTAAGGTAACCGATTTTAAACAGTATCAATGTATAAGGCGATTGCTGATATATTTCATTTCTGTTAATCCACCAGTTTATTGTCAAAATGGTTCTGTACGTCGATCAGAATTAAACATATAATATGTATATTTGAAACAGTATAAAATATCTTTTTTTTTCGCTACTTTTTGTGTAGGTTTTCCCATGGCATAGAAAAAAATTTTTATGATCGGTCTGCGTGTCCATTCGATCTTGATACTTCAAAAAACAAATCTAAACTGCATTAATTTACGTATTACCGACAAGAAACACACGGTGGCTGGATTATATGCAGTAACTTTTGTTAATCAAGAAAAATATTTCGACACATGTTAGTTCTGCTCAAACAATTTTCCACATACGTTCTTGAATCATCATCATCACCATCATCAACATGATGATCATCATCATCCTTCGCACTTGGGCGGAATGGGAGCAGCAGCAGCAGCAACATGTTTAGACCTGAATTGTTTCTCTCTCATTATTTAAATAGCCTAACTTGTTTGCAGACCAGTATCATTCATGATGGTAAGTTATATTTGATTTGTCTCTGTAAGCCTTTCCTCCAGATGGTGTCCAAATAAGTCTTTGGCGACTGGTTGTTCTAAAGTGCGGGCGCAGTGCCTCAGCAAACTGCAGCCTTCTTTTCCTGATTACAGAGGATAACGGTGGCAGTGATCTGTACCCCTCTGTGTTTGGAACATGGTCTGTCCGGCTGATATCCTACATTCTTCTTAATAGCTGTGTATACCAGACATCTATGCTGCTTTCTAACTTCTCATTTATGGTCCAACTTAAAAGAAGGATAATTTTCGAATTTCCTAAATTGTACCTAAGTTTTCATCTGTTTAACGGCTGAACCATAAATACTATCTTTACATTTCAAGGTCATACCTTTGCTTGTAGAAACAAGAGAAAATGGAACAATATAGGGGCCTACTACTTGATATAACCTTTTTATCAGTGAACAAGCTGGATAGGAGACATTTATTTGAAATTATGTCATGATTTTTAAAATGATTTTTACTGTAAAAGACATGATGACACACACTATATTTATAAGTGACTAGCCTCCTGCTCCAATGAAGTGGCTTAAAGTATATACGCCAGAAAAGTGAGACTAATTCGTCTTGCACGATCGTCGCTTTTGATAGTGTGACTTGACTAGAACAGTATTAGCTATTTTGAACACGTTTCCACTCCCAGAGCCATTTAGTGGCGTGGCTGCATGTATCAAGCAAAACACTCTGAAGACAATCCTCAAACATGACATACAAAGTACGCACTGCTTTACCCATGTTAGTTGGCAAATTTGTAAAATGGTGGGTGAAGTTATGATGTGAAAGGTCGTATCCATCCATACGCGTGATGGGGATGACTGTTTGAGATTTTGGTCATATGAAAAATATCACGAAAATAATGCGTATGAAATCATTTAGAGAGCTCTGTTTGTTTCAGAGTACTTTCCTCTGTCGAACAGACCAACAGCGTTCGTTAATTAACGCCATTAATGGATGCAGAATAATAAAAAGGCCAAGTGCGTTCGTAAATTAGGCACAATTACAAGCACAATAGATTTACGCGAACCAATTACAGCCCTTATTAGTGTACATCTTAAAGCAAGGCCCCCGATAACATACATCACGCAAAAGGCACAGTTTCTCTCCTTCTGTCAATGCTTACAAAAATAAGATGACGTTTAGCACAAAATAAATATATTTAAATTATACATAACAATAATACATAAACTGTACATTTTTATATCCTTTAAAGTCAAAATTTATACAAATTCATGCTAGGCATGGTCTACATGGTAGACTGAAACGCTCCAAAGTAGTAGCCTATAGGATTATAAAATCAGCTGGAAAAAACAACTAGAGGGTCTATAAAAAAGATTGTCTGATAATAGTACCAGTCCGGAAAATTACATGTACTTCCAAGATATATATATATATATATATATATATACACACAAAACGTGCAGAGTCTGAATCGCCAAGCGAAAGGCATAATGCTAATGTCGATGTGGTCATATCACGCAGACGAATCCAAAATGTTAACACGAGCAGCAGACCTATCGTTCACTGCATTGCTGCTATTGCGTCTTAGCAACATCACCTGCGACACTTCAAACATAGATGCAGTTTCTGACGACCTGTTCTCCACCGGGCAGCAACAACAACATAATCTGCAAACATCCGCCGCAAACGTTGCCCAGTACATGAGACCTAACACGACTAGTGAGCTATATGGGAATATCGACAAGAGAAAATATACTGCTGGCTGGATAAATATTCCCATTCCGAAAAGTATGTTTGTTATTACATGCGGAAACTGTGACATGAAGTTGAGTAGGGCAGACGTGGCGAATACCCTGACGATTTTGGAATCGAATGTAGTGATCTCTGAACCAGGCTGTGTGGGCTCAGATCGTCTGCAGAGAATTCTCAAATAGCAGTAAAAGATAACACAGTGCGGAATCACCATGGTAAAAATGGACTGGTATCCAATGAAGCCCTTAATGTTTTTGTTCACATCCGTATAATCTAGGCTGCAGTGGCTGTTTTCTGTAATGAAAACGATTCGGAATGTCAAAGTAGTCAAGACAGACTCGGAAAAACACAATTACAAATGGCTTTACACTGGATAAAGGAATAAACTTGAAAACTTTCATACAAAAGATAAAAACACGACTACCCTAAATACAAAAATGCACAAATTCAATCGCAGATTGTCTTAAAGTGCATAATGTCTTAGCAAAATTGCCTCATCTGTTACAAGTAAGTCGACATGCCATCATTATCTAAATGTTAGAATAAAAATGCACTTTTAGGTCTTCATACCTTGATACACCAGTGGCACCTGTCGGTAATTTTCTACTTCCGCTTGGGACATGAAGGTTCCAAAATGGAGTCTTTGAACTTGCAATAAGTTAAGAGTGTAGTTATCATTAACTATGTTTCCAAGAGTTTCGCCGAGCGTGTGTTCTTTTTGCTCTTTCCACAATTTAGAAAGAGCGGCATAGTTGTAAGCACGCAGTGTAAACTGGATTGCTGTTGGGGAGATTACTATTTCCCTAACTTGAACCTCTCTTGAAACACTGAAGAAATTTCGGATGTTTTGTTTAGTTCGAACAGCGGCTGAGCCTGTGATGTTGTTGTCTTCATTGTGAAGAAACCCATAGAACTTGAGCGCAGTCGCCTGCATCTGGCTGATATCCAACTGTGTTTCATTTGTGATGTTTATCACAGCTAGGTGCATGTGTATTTTTCCTGAAATTGAAAAAA